GAAATATACATTCATAATTAGATATAAGACAAGGGTAGAGAAAATACATTGCAAGAAATTTTAGGCAGTGTACAACAAACTGATTCCCTAGCCCAGGCCACCTCCTTCAAAATGTAGAAATGCAAATATTTGATGGACATGTGGTCACTCTTTCATTGGTCAAACCCTGAATTGCCATGCTATCATTGGTTGAACTGCTAATTGTGATGGACAGTCAGGATTGATCTATTATCACTTATTGCACTACATGTACAACAACTGTACATCATGGAATGTGTAGAGGTGCAAAGACATGGATCTTTCTCAATATTGTAAGAAAGTCTATAAAGGCTGGGGAGAACACTGATTACACCATCTTTCCACTAGAGGCTGACGATCAAAACTGATCACTCAACCAATTTCATAGATAAAGTACAAAGTTCGCATATTTTGTTGTATTTCAAATCATACTTTTGCATTGTGCATTACATTTAAATTTGAAAATCAAGGGTCACAATCTTAATTTTGTGTGATTGCTGTATTGTGGAAAGGGACCTAAGAAATATCTAGAATGGCAGTGTTTGTTCTTCTCCAGTCTTGTTTCAGCCTCACACTATTCTCTCAGCTGATCCGTACATTAAGAACACCAGCAGGCCGAAGGTGTTGATAACAGCCGTCAAGTGGAAGACAGCTGCCCAGCTGCCTGTTAGCTCCAGGATGTGACCAGCCAGGTACACACCAACAACACCTGTACAAACAAAGGATGACGTTTAACAGAATTGTTTTATCTCGTTATCATCAAGATCTCACAGGGTACTATCAAAAACCAATTGTGAAGCAAAGACTTGAATGTGTTATGCATTTGGTATCTTTCCTAGACATCTACTCAAAACTACAAACGTTGCCACATGAAAGTTGATGCAGCAGCTTCTAAACTCTTAAGAAAATTTTAAAAAATGGCACTTTTTCAATCAGATAAGGAAATGAAAGTGACTTTGAACCAGTTTAGCTCAAGTGAACTCGATGAACAGTTGAGCTACTCTTCCACTGGTTGTGACAAAAAAGACATACCGGTAGGCTAGGTACAGTATATACAGGTTCATATTGTACTGTTGAAATTTCCCTTTTGACAAGTACAATGAACAGTTGGACCATGGCTAAATGTCACATCCTAAGGACTAAGACTACTTTCCAGTAGCGTGTTTGTCGAGTGAGCTGGTTCGAACCTCCAACCTCTTGTCTAGAGATGGGCACTAACCACTGGACTACACATGCTACATTCAATACTATAGTAGTACAGAGTTCCATACATATACATGTACCTTGCATGATGATAGGGTCCCATTCTATAATTCCTAGATTTGGCCACAGGCTTGGAGCCAGCTGGCCAATTAACCTTATAGTAACCTTCCTGATCCCTTCTGCAATTGGGAGTGGCTTACATTTTATTGCTCTACAATACCTCCCATCACAAAGCATTAAAGAACTAGAACAACTGATAAAAGATTTATCTTTTTTTTCT